ATGTGTAATACCACACAAATGCAAATTAAAAGGGTTAGCGCCGATCTGCCCGACGCAGATTGGTGCAGCCATTTCACTGTCCCGCAAACAGCGGACTCAGCCTTGCCGCGCTCTCGGCTAGGACATTCTCTCCACCTGATGCAAATTCGCTTGGGTTTTCGGGCAGCTGCATACTAGCCAAGAGTTGTTTGTACGTCAAAACTCCCGCCGAAGATTCGATGAGATGACAGTTGGATACTACGGGCAGCCAATGGCTGCCAGCCATGGTCAAGTTGAAGAAAGTCCAAAACCCCATGAAGCTTGCTGTTGATCTAATAAGCTCCCAGACTGTAGTTGAGAAGGTCACCAACTAGATGTACCAAGGGGAGTAACTGAGAGCACTGGCGTGATCAAGGTCGTCATTTTGCTATGGCGAAGTAATCATTTTAAAATACTCGATGTCAATAATGAATTATAAGAGAACAAAGCCGGTGGATTTACTAAATAAACGAGGGAATATAACAAACACTGAATAACACCGTAGCCCATCACCCACAATACGCACGGACAGGGCAACCTGGTGCTCGGCTGCGCACAGCTTTGCACAGGAGATGGATGAGCAGGCAGCGTGCATCATGGTTGGCATTTGTGACACTAATGTGACTACGAAGTGTGGCACCAGTGGATCTTTGAGTGGCTCCTTTCATTGTCCAGAAAGCCCCAGCAGCCCCAGGGTCCTGACCAGCCTGCGCCGTCCAGCGCACACCACAGGACGATGCCGGGCCTCAGCGCGTCGGAGCTGCCACCGGAGGCGCTCCACGCTGGGGACACGATAGAGTATTTCTCCCGTGCCTTTGTCTGCGGCGACCGCCGAGGGTTTCGTCGCGCCGTCGTCATCTGTGTCGACGACGGCGACGACGTCGACTTCCCCGTCACTGTAAGCACTGAGGAACCGATACCGACGAACATGATGGTCAAGAAGGTGGCAGACTGCCTCGGCACCCCCTGGCACCCGTCAAGACAAAGTGGCGTAAGGTTTGGACGTTTGAGTTGGTTCCAGGAACTTTTTCCGCTCCAACGAGGTCCAGTGCGCTGAATAGTGTCCTACAAGCGGCTGTCGCAGCGGCATACAGAGCATTGGTGAGTCATGTTCCCACCTCTGTCAGGACCCGGGGCGCCCGCGAGGGCTGCCAGGGTACCAAAGCATCCTGAAGATGCTTGGGAGTCGTCGACGTATATGACGACTCCAAGGATGTTTTGATGGTGGCCGCGCCCAGAAGAGGCGTCGGCCAAGTGGGTAACTTAGGTCCACAGGCGGGTAACTTAGTTCCGCAGACAGCTGCAGCTGTCATGAACACTGAGAACAGCGTGTTCAGAGTGGGTAACAGAGTTTCACTCACGGTCGCCCAGACCTTAACTGAAGAGGAAGACGTCGGATACGGTTCCTGTGTGGGTAACACAGTGCCACACACGGTCGTCCAGACCATAAGTGAAGAGGAAGACGTCGGATACGCTTCCTGTGTGGGTAACACAGTACCACACGCGGTGGCCCAGACATTAAGAGAAGAGGAAG